GTCAATTGGTCCGCGGCAAATGGAGAGAAAGACTTAGGCGGAAGTTCAAATTTCCTGTGAGTACACATGCTCTACATTTATATTTCTCCGATTCAAATACATACAAGTGTATATTAATTAGATCTCTCGTTGTTTGTCATTTATTTGTAGTGCGCAAAGCAAAAGCAGGGAAATAACTTGTGCGGCTATTACGTGTGCGAGTATTGCCACTGCCTTGCAAACCAAATCATCACCACAAGAGAGCTCGATGTACGTACAAATAAATTCAAAATTTCATTACGTAGCGATTTCTTGTTTAATTACTAATCAATTTCATACATTCATATAGTTTATTCGCATGAGGGATAACCTGACCACACACAAGGAATTTATCACGGCGGTTCAAGAACAACTCATGGGATTCATCAACGAAGAAATCCTTGATCCCAAGGGTGAATTCTACTACGACGGAAACACAATTCACCGGTCCTTAGCTTCTGAGCTAGCAGCGACTACTACTACGTCGAAATCGTAGCTAGCTAGGACATATAATGGATTGTAATTAATACATGACTACATATGTTTCTATATGCATGTGTACACATTTTCTATAATGTAAATATATTTTGGTCATATATATATCTATATACATATGCATTTGCATAACATATATATATGTATAAATACATATATATTATGCATGTATATACATATAATATAATATAATACATATATATATATATACATATATATATGTATGCATATATATGTATTGAAACATATATATGCATGGTTTATATATATATATATATATATATATAAACCATGCAGCAACAGGGCCATGAAAAAAAAAAGGTCAGCTCGATCTTTAGTCCCGGTTGGTGTTACCAACCGGGACTAAAGATCGATCTTTACTCCCGGTTATTTCACCCGGGACTAAAGATAGCGATATTTAGTCCCGGATTGGTACTCCCGGTTTGGAAACCGGGACTAAAGGGGGGTTACCAACCGGGACTACAAAGGGTTTCTCCACCAGTGTATATTATCACTGGCAAAACAATATTTCTACACGAATAGAAGCCGGTCAGCAGTGGCGGAGCCAGTGCCATCGTCAAACCGGAGCAACTAATTAATAGTGTTTTCGGTGATCAATTAATTTTTATAAATGTCAATGATTATTAGTAGTGGAGTTAATAGTGGTGAAGCCCGAGCGGTCGCTCGACCTACCCGGGAGGTGGCTTCACCACCACTGCCTGTCAGTCCCTCCAAGCCGGTACTCCATTCATTCATAATATAAGCAAAGCAGCACAAAGAGAGAAAAGCTCTCTTCTTTTTCAGGCGCACACTTTCCAAACTGCTAAACGGTGTATTTTGGAAAAAAAAACTAACAAAAAAACTTAATAAAAATGTATTGATCTACTTTTTTTCAATTTAAAGTAATTAATACTTAATTAATTATGCGCTAATAACTCACATCGTTTCATATCCTCTTAATTTTTTTTCTATGTTTCAAACACACCAATTTGCTACAGCTGCAGCGCCACTGCCAGCCGCTGAAGTGCTGCCGGTTGCTTGCCTAAGTACTGCACGCGGTTGCGGCTGCAGCATGGAAGGAAGCCGATCAAGCCATGCATAGCAGCTATTACCTTGTCACATTATATTTGTACTTGTACGAAGAAGAGAGAAGAAAATTAGACTATAAATTAGTAGTCAGGAGTAGTCAGCTCTAGCACGAGTTCAAATAAATTACTCTCTCCATACTCATAAAAGAATTCGTTTAGAACAATGTTTAAGTCAAATCTTGGGAATATAAATCATTAATAACTCTCAAGTTGTTTAGTTTGAAAATATAAAAATTGTATGAATAGATTTATCTTGAAAAATACTTTCATAAAAGTATACATATATCAATTTTCAATAAATATTTTAATAGAAAAAAGAAGTCAAAGTTGTGTTTTGAAGACCGTGTCGATGTCCTAAACGACTTCCTTTACGAGTATGGAGGAAGTATATGAGAGAGATGGGTGGATTAGATATTAATGATCCGTATATATCTATAACTAATTATCATATGAGTGGACTATTAAGTTAGTTATAGATAATATTTTAATATTTAGAACCAGCAATTGGCTATATTATTAAACTTGCTGTAAGATGGATCTAGTACTACTGCAACAAAAAAACAAGGGAAATATTTGCAAGGAAATTTTCTTCAAAGTTATTTCTTAAGTTTATGGATCTACGATACATGTTTGCATGGACTATGGTGTAATTATTCATATAAGTAAAGCTACTTTCGTTTCAACGTTTTGGCTAAGACTTTCATCAGCATGTAAAATGAGGTGAGCTATTAGCAGATTATTAATTAAGTATTATTTTTTACAGTATTATTTTTTACAAACTTAAAAAAATAATTTGTTTGATTTCTTAAAAACTTATATATAAAAAATATTTTATAAATGTATCGTTTAGCATAGCTCATATGTTGGGTTAGATTCGAACTCAGCCTAAGATTCCACGAATATATAAGCGTGATAGGACAAGTTCTTTTTTTTTTCCCAAAAGTCGCATCATTTCTCCAACCATTGTTGGTTGGGAACATACATAGTATTGGCCCTATGACGCAATTGAAGAACAAAATATCAGCACAAAGCACATATTTGAGTGTACAGGGAAGGGAATAAGAACCAACTCCTAAATGTGGTGAGGCAAAGAGAGTGTGACAATAGGAAATTTCAGAGCCTTAACTAGGGAGCTAGCGCGAATAAAGGCACATCCAATCGATCGGTACCTACTACCTAGGGCTACATAAGAGAATATGCATGTGGAAAGTTGCAAATGATGCAATTTTCATGAATGACTTGCATGGCTCAGGTATTTAAAAATACATCCTAGGGAGCATCTAATCGCAATGATTTGAGGAAAAAGTTGATCAATATGGGGGTATATGGTATATCAATATGCTCGCATGATGTTAAGGACATGCTTAGAATGGACAACAATTTTTTGACCACACCTTAATTAGTCAAGATTATTTTTTTTAGAAAAAAGGTATGAAATTGTGGATTTCAGAGGGGGAAAACCTGATAAGGTAGAACTATGCAACTACTGCCTGAAATATACTCCCTCCGTTTCATGTTATAAAGTCAAATTGTTTCAAATTTGACTAAGTTTATATAAACAAATATAGTAATATTTATAATACTAAATTAGTGTCATCAAATCAATAATTGAATATATTTTCATAATAAATTTATCTTGGGTTGAAAATGTTCCTATATTTTTTATAAACTTGGTTAAACTTAAAGCAGTTTGACTTTAACCAAAGTCAAAATGTTTTATAAACTGAAATGAAGGGAGTAGTTTGGTAATGTTCGACAAAATGTGGTAGTGAAAACACACCATAAGTATTTGTGTGCCCACTCTCACGTGTATGGAGAGCAAGAAAAATTATAGTGAGGAGAAACACTTAGATACGGGGATGAAATAAAAGTTTTCTAATAATTTTTCTAGCTTAATGCAAATGCATTAGCATGAAGGTGCAAGTGAATCTTGTTGTTTGTTCCACTTTGCAACTTTTTTTTCTCCAAATCTAAATGAAAATAGTCAATGCACGTACCGTTACCGGCCGGCGAAAAAAGAGTACTGAGGGGATTTTTTTTTTTCAAATCGAAATATTTTGTAATTCGCGGTTATTCGCCCGTAGCCTTTGTAACAATTTGTTGTAATTTCTCGAAACAAAGGCTGTAATAAATTCAATTATCTTTAAAAACAAAGTGGACAGGCTTAGTGACTCTGTACACTTCAATTTGGCCATAATTTCAGATATGGATGAATTCATTTCCTGTAGGAAAGGGGGAAAATGTCCACATTATGAGATGTTAACCAAATAGCCAGCTGGCCTGGGAGCAAACAGCATCTTAATTATGTTCTGCAAGGAAGTCAAGCTGTCATGCATCCAAATTACCTCTACAATTAACACATGGTATTTGTGCAATTCATGCATGAGAGAGAGAGCATTTTCCTCATGACTAATTTTCTCTTGGGCGGACAAGTCAGTTGCATTAACCTTTGCCACATAGACCATGCATGCATGGCCTCTTCTGCATGCACAAGTTGTCAAGGAAAATTCAGACTCTCACTTTGGTTCTTCCATCAGCTATTCATAGAAAGCTATAGCCTTATCTTCGGTACACAACTGAATCTATCTATCTAGGATACATTAGGGTGGGCAACAAGAGATGAATTTCAGCATGGGTGAGATTAAATGGTAGCTGGTACTACCTGCCATATGCAAGCCTAACCCAAGACGACAAACAGTATCAAGCATTCATGTAGTACAGCATACTTATATATGTAGAGGTCTATCACATAAGCATATATAGTGCACATGCATCCTATATATCTATGGGCCATAAAGATGAGCTATGGATGATGGTCCATGGGCAAATCTTGAATCCATTGAAGTGCTATGGATGATCAGAAGTACAGAATTCATGAGATAGTTCTGAAGATCACCATCAAGATACAAGATAGAGTACTAATTACTTCTATGTGTACAAGTAGGCTAGGGAAGAAATAGTATTCTCCATGCAGTTGCAGTGCAGTGCCTTATCTGTTAGGCAAGGTGAACTGATGATTGATGAACCTGGAACACCCTAATTGGAAGTTGATAATTAAGGGCAGTCATTTCAATCTGACTTTGATAAACCTCTGAGAATTTAAGTCCAAAGGCTGTTATAGCTTAGACCAGGGTAGCAAATCATACCCTAAACAAATAGATCTCAGAGCTCAAGGAGATCAATCATTATTCCATTTTAGTTCTACATCAACTGTGTTAATTTTGGTATAATCTCATTGGCTGCATGTGGTTGCGAGGTAATTCAGACATATATAGAGAAACCATGAAGATGGTCTATGAAAATTACAACGAAATTCAAGGACCATATGCTGCATGATGGTGTTTTAAGAACAAGTATATTGCATAGTTTGACTTAATTACTCTCCACTAAGCAAGTTTAGCATACCTTGGGACAATGAAAGAAGCATGCAGGAACCATTCAATCTGGATGTTCAATTTTTGTACTGCACGTGAAAACTAAGATCTGGTTGGGCCGTATACTAACTGTGGCCCATCCAAACCAAAATCCGCACGCAAAACCTAATCGGACGACACGCGGAGGATTTCCGTTACGGGACTGGGTTTAATTGGATCTCGACCGTAATGGGCTGGCTATTGGGCTGATCACAATGCGGCCCACCTACCAAACTCGCGCAGTGGTGGGTTTCCATCGTCGACGCGGCATTTCGTCGAGCACACGGCGGGCGGCCGGTGGCGCGAGGCGTGGGCGAGTGGATGGGAGGGACGGCGCCACCGGCGGGCGAGGCGAGGAGCGCGCGGGTGGGGAACGCCGGCGACGGCGCACTCTCCGCCACGCCCCGACCACCGGTACGCCGCGCCTTGCCTCTTCAACTCTTCCCGCCGCGGGCATGGTTAGGAGCTTAGGATTTAGGGATTTTTCTTTTTCTCCTCAGGGCATTGGGGTTTGGGGAATGGGAGGAAGCAAGCCGGTGGATTGGTGCGATGAGGAACCGGAGCGCCGTCGTGCGCAGCGGCGGAGGACACGGCCGGCGGCGGCCTCCGTGGCATTGGCACCCCCGCGCCCTAGCTTGCAGGATTTCGCGTTTTCGTCCTCGGAACACGGTATGCCTCTCACTGTTTTCTTCCAAATGTGGTGTCATTTTCTGCTCCTTATTTTTATTAGTCGCTCATTAGTAGTGATAGTAACGTGTTTGTCTTCATATCTGCGTATTCTAATCCAATTCCCGGTTATATTTTGGGATTTTGCTCAAACATTTTAATCCTAAGTTAGTACAAACTCCTCTGGTTCAAAAAAACAATTCCCAATCCGTCCCACTCCAAATCTACCCAAATTTACTTGTTAATCGAGCTGTGGTAGCACCAGGGACGGTTTCATCCCATCTGCATCTGGCAGAGTTTCACCAAGTTGTTTGTTGCATTTTCTTATTTCTGCCACTTGATCGTTAGGTGAGCACGACTGATAAAAATAAGCTCACATTCTTAATTCCAGTGGGCTACCACGGCCAAGCTGCCATTAATTAATACTACCTCCGTTTTTTAATAGATGACGCTGTTGACTTTTTCTCATATGTTTGACCATTCGTCTTATTCAAAAAATTTACGTAATTATAATTTATTTTGTTATGAGTTGTTTTATCACTCATAGTACTTTAAGTGTGATTTATATCATATACATTTGTATAAAATTTTTGAATAAGACGAATGGTCAAACATGTGAGAAAAAGTCAACGGCGTCATCTATTAAAAAACGGAGGGAGTATATAATTTTTGATGCCAACACAACGCGGAGATTAGCTTCTTGGAGCCTTGACGGAATCTGGGCGTTGACCTCTAACCTCTAATCAGAGTCTAGCCCCCAGTCCTCTCCTCCTATCCAGTGTCATCTCTTGTTTGCTCAAGCTCTCTCCAGCATGGTGGAAGCTGCTGCTATTGCTTTTGCCAAGAGCTCAGCCATTTTTGTTGGGAAGAAAGTTGCAGAGACAGTGATCAGTTATGTTGTGAACAAAGCCCTTGATCGCCTTCCGCTGGAGAATGAGGATTTGAAGACTAAGTTGAAGAGTAAGCTCTCCAAAACTCAAGCAATGTTATATGGCATTACTCTGCAGGAGATCCAGGACAACCAAGGGTTGGTTGAATGGCTTTGGCAGTTCCGCGATGCCATACAGGAGGCCGAGGATGCACTTGATGAGCTTGACTTCTTTGACTTGGAGAAGGTGTGCAATCGGAAGGCAGAATCTTCATCATCCTTGGTCCCTAAATTCATGAGATTGCAGCTGTCTGTAAGTTCTAATAACTCCAACAGCAGTAGAAAGAATCTCAAGAATGCTCTGATGAGGTTAGAATCTGTCTTTGATGATGCTGCAAATTTCCGAGTGGTAACTGGGCATGGACTTCACACTTCCCCTCAACGTAATGAAGGGCGCATACAAGATACGACCAACCGAAATGAGACAACGAGAGTGTTAGCAACACCTGTATTTGGAAGGCAGAAGGAAAAAGATGAGATAATTGAATGGCTGGGTGTTGAGGCTCCAGGGAGAGATAGCAAACTCTCAGTGTGTGCAATAGTGGGTGGGGGTGGTATGGGGAAAACATCTCTTGCTCAGCTTGTCTGTCAAGATAAGAAGGTTCAGGATCATTTCGGCGACATGATTATCTGGGTGCATGTTCCCAAGCGCTTTGAACCTGTAGTGTTGGTGGCAAGAATGTTGGAATCCATTAACAGGAACAGAGTTACTGCATCTTCTTTGGACATACTGCAATTAGATCTCACTAAAGAGTTGGTTACTAAGAGATTTTTACTGGTTCTGGATGATGCATGGGAGGATGGGGAAAATGAGCTATGGGGGCAATTTTTATCTCCCCTGAGGAACATTATTGCACCAATGGGAGGTAGAATCTTGCTCACGACCCGAATGGGGTCAGTGGCTGATGCTGTTAAACGCCAAATGCCATCAAATGAATATAAATGTGTTGTACTGGGGGGTTTAGATCACAGAGATATTATGCAGATCTTGAACCATCATGTGCCTCCTAATGAAGATTTGGAACTTCGAAGTGTAGCTGAATGGATTGTACACAACCTCGAAGGATGTCCTTTTGTAGCAAAAGTGATTGGTCAGTACCTCAGAGACAACACTGATCATAGCAATTGGAATGACTTCTTAAATAAAAAAGTATGTCATTTAGACGATATTGCACCTAGGGTTATGGAGATGCTCAGGTTGAGCTATGAAGATCTAACCTCAGAGGTGCAGCTTTGCTTTCAGTACTGCAGCATATTTCCATCCCATTACAAATTCAGGATGGAAGAGCTTACCGAGATGTGGGTGAGTTCAGGATTGATACTGCAAAGCACAAAGGGGAACAGTGGCCAGGAGAAAATTGCTCGGGAACACTTCAATATTCTGTTGAAAAAATCATTCTTTTCACTGATACCCAGAGAATTACATCCCGATCCTTCTACAGATTACTATGTCATGCATGATTTGATTTATGAATTGTCATGCCTTGTTTCTAGCGAGGAATTCTCAACATTTAAAGTCACCAAATGCAATACTGCTGATGTATCTGAAAGAGTACGTCACCTATACATTGAAGGGATAAATTCTGAAGCTATCAATGTTATATCCAAGTCCAAGTACCTCCGTACTCTTATTATAGCGAATGAGGAATGGCCACTTAAGGCAGGACTGGCTGATAATCTTAAGAAAGCAATGAAGGGCATAACAAGCTTGCGGCTCTTAAAGTTTGATGGACATGGATGGTTTGACATAAATGATGCTATTGCGGAACTAAAGCACTTAAGGTACATCTGTATGTCTGCTACTAACAAAAGCAATCTGAATAAATTGTTTAAACTCTTCCACCTGGAGGTCCTTAAGCTACTGAAGATAGAAGGAGAAGAACAGGCGAGCGTCAGTGATTTATGCAATCTAGCTAACTTGCAGAAACTGTATCTTCCAAAACCTGCATTATCCAGAGTCCCTCATATTGGAAGACTAACTAATCTTCGTGAGTTGAATGGGTTGAGCGTGAAGAAAGAAGAAGGACACAAAATATCTGAGCTGAAGGACTTAAAGAACCTCCGGAAAGTCTTTGTGTTTGATGTTGAGAATGTAAGCAACTGTAGTGAAGCTTCCTTGGCTGAATTGAGCAATAAGAATGATATGGAACTGTTATCTTTGGAGTGGTCAAATCAACATAATAGGATTAATGAGCGAATTCTTGATACAGTTGTTCCTTACAAACGTATTAGGCATTTAAGAATTTCTGGTTATAAGGGTGTTTTGCCTCCACTGTGGATTCGAAGGAAAGTCCTTACCAAATTGGTACGCTTGAAGATTGTTGGATGTCCTAAATGGGATGATCTCCCTTCCTTCGCGAGTCTATCTAGTCTGAAGCATGTCTTACTGGAGGACCTACCAAATCTGAAATGCATTGGGGGACCTGATGGTGATGGATTGCCTCCTTTCTTGGTTACCTTAGTTGTAAAAGAATGCCTAGAACTGTTGAATTTACCTCATCTACCTTATAGTCTAAAGCATCTGGGGATAAATAAAGTTGGAATATCTTGTCTGCCAACCAGTAGTCAGATGGCATTACAAAACGTGTCTACAGTGGATCCACAGCTGTGCAGTCTCCATGTAGATTCTTGTCCTAATTTGTTGTCCTTCGGATCATGTATTGTAGAAGAGCAACACTACAAAGCTCTTACTAGCTTGAAAGTCATCGGCTGCAGCATGCTCGAGAAGCTCCCAAGTGAAGAACATTTTAGAAGAATATCCACAATGGAGAGTATTGAAATTCTTCAATGTCAGAGTTTGTCGACCTTGGGTGGCCTAGGAGCACTTGCTTCCTTGAAAATACTGAAAATACAGCAGTGCACTCATCTAACTGCTACATCTTCAGGGATTCCGGTAGCACCAGCTATGCGGTCTTCTCTTGTGCTTGACACCCTTGAAATTGATGACCATCTTTTGCTTCTTCAGAATCCATTTAGAAACTTCTGCCTCACTAGAAGACTTGTATCTAATGGATCTGAAATGCTTGAGTTGCCTCAGGAATGGTTATTGCAGAATAGTTCTCAGTTGGAGCATATAGAAATAAACAATGCAAATCTGCTCAGATCACTGCCTTCAACTATGGACACTTTGCACTCCCTGAGGAGTCTGGTTCTGTGTAATGCTCCCCTCCTCGAGACACTTCCTGCTATGCCCCCCAATCTGTGGGCTCTTCAAATAAGTGGTTGTTGCACTCGTTTAAAGGTGGGGTGTAAAACCAATGGTTCTGAATGGGAGAAGATTTTGCCAATCCATAAAGTTGATATAAACTAACATGTTATTAGGTATGAATATTTCCGTTTCAACAGTTATCTTCCCTGATATGTCCGGTCTCCTTGCTCATTTCTAGTTAGGTTTCCATTACAATAATAACCTTTTTTTTCTCTCCTTGTTTTGATAGGCAAGAGAATATTCCATCTCACCCCTAGAAGAGAAGATGGTTCCTAACTCTAGTGGCCTTATTTGGCAGGCTGGGGTTAGGGAAAAATCCTAGCCATGAAGAGGAAAACAATCCACGAATGAGGGCGTTCTCGAATTTCAGAACTTTTGATGCATGCTGTGCGCCCTATCAAAGATTTGATATTACATTAATATTATAAAGCCATCATTTTAACTCTATACTGAGCAATTAAACTCAAGTGAGCGATTTTATTTTATTAAAACTAGGAAGGTAGCCCGCGCATTCGCGTGGGCATGCATATTAGATTGCGTTAGAAACTTATAAGAACAGAATACCAACTGGATTGTTTGTATTGTAGTTCAAAAGTATGATTTCCAAAAACATTCTTCATGAAGCGTCGCGGTTGGCACCTCGCCTCCATTTGTCATCTTTGCTCTAGGGGGGAAGAGACTTTGCTCACATCTTTCAAGGTTGTTCTTACACACAAGAAGTGTGCAAGTATCAGAGGGTGGTTAGGGCTTTGTTGCTCAACGCCGATGGAGAGTCTTCCCTCTTGGTGGTGTGATGCTCGCAAAGCAATCAAGAAGCGGGACAGGAGAGCTTTTGATGCGGGCATCATCTTGGTGACATGGCTAATTTGGAAACAGCGCAATGCTCGTGTCTTTGAGGGGCATACAGTGTTGCCAGTGAATCTTTGTGCCGCAATCGAGGATGAGTGGAAATTGTGGCAAGAAGCGGGCTTGACTTCCTCTCTTTGAGTTGTAAAGTGGAGGCGGGGGTTTTCCCTCACCGTTGTTGTATACATAAGGATTGTTTTATTTTGTAGTCTGTGGTTGCACGTCGTTTTCTTGGGTGTGCTAGGTGATCTGTAAATTCTTTCCCCCCTCTTAATATACTCCGATCGGTTGTTTTCCGACCCGGCGAATATTACTTAAATAATGTTTTCCAATCTATTTTGTTATCATTGTATTATATAATTTAATTTACCCCTATAAGAAATTATGTATAATTTGCTTAATCGTCTTTAAAAGAAGATAGGCTTAGTTTGTTTTGGGAACATGTTTCACAAATTAAGTGTAAATCAAAAGTAAGGTGTTTTTCTTTTTATAATTGATTGTTTAAGGACTCTATTTTTTTAAAAAAAAAAAATCTTCCAACACAATAAAGCTGCCCTCTAATTGGTTCACATTACTGCTACTTGTTGCATACTTACAACATACTTACATGTAAGCATTTAAGCACTCAAAAATGATGGAATGGTTATGTTAATGGGTGTTCTAGTTTAAGTGAAATCTAAGAACCTATTTTTTTCTATGAATTTTATAAGTTTTTCTACAGTTAGTTCATTTTAATCCCTATTGACATTTCATATTTTCTATTTTATTGTATGTAATCTTATTTTAAGATCAAATTTTGTGAGATGATAGAATAGTGAGAGTGTTACATCTTATATGTCAACCTTTTTTAAAAATAAAAATTAATCGACTTTTGTATAAACATCTAATACTAAAATAGGTTCTCATTGTTTATTTATTTATAGATTGGGGTATTTGAGACTATGTTAAAGACACATGCTTGTAGAGTCCAATTTTATTGTTAAGTGTGCAAGGCTCCTCACGGCTAGATATAACTGCGAAGGCATCATTACTTTGGAATGTAATTTTTTTTATTGTTCCATGATTTATTTATTTTTACAAAATTTATAGCTAACCATTAAGAATTATGTACTCGAAAGTAACCAATCTACAAATATTTTGTTTAGCTAGCTGCACTGGGCATGAATTAACTACAATTAGATTATATAGTTGTTTAACTGAAGCATATTATGTCTGTCCACTTGCCATAATTATCACATATTCCATCAAGTTCTGGAAGACCCTAGAAAATCTGTGTTTCAAAGATCAGACAAATTATTTGAAAGCATTTCGCATTTCTAGCATGGAATTTGTTTGGTCGATATACAGCCCTCTTGCAGCTCCTACTCAATATGCCCTATGGCGATAAAAAGTAAGGCCTAGCTGAGCTCATTACGACTCTCATCCTCTATATGGATACATTATTCTTGTCTTATTAAGAATGATCTACTTTCTCTCTCCTGCTTCGCTTTCTCATCCAAGTTTGCGCGAGAAAATTTTTGGGTTCGAAAGTCTAAACAAATTCATTATAAAATTTGTGTATGTCTAGTATATGACAATAGTTTGTTGACAATGGTTTTGTTGCACCTCCTAGTCATCATGCTACATGGTTGTATAACTTTTCTAATGCTGAGACATGGAGGTTTCCATGTGATCCATTGTAGTAGTATTCACAGTATCGATCAAGTTTATTTTTTTTTTCTCATGTCTCGGTGTATCATAAAATATAAATGGATTCCAAACTTTTCTTCAAGTGTATGTATACACATAAACATGTTTATAGCAAGTTAAAATATTAGGATGTGATTTTTTTTAAATATTATTATGGAATTAATTAATACATGTCAACATCATCTGTCGCAATGTATTTTGCACTAAAATATAGCCAACATAAGTCATCAATATAAATTCATAACAAAATTGATAATAATTACATATTTCTTTTAGCAAACATATGCTCAAACATCGATAGCGTAAAAAATAAAGGTAATAAATATATTATGGGGAATCCTAGGTAAAAAAAAAGTAAACGGGATGAATGGGAAGGGAAAAAGGGGACGTACTCCCTACGTCCCAAAAAAAACTCAATTTCTGGAGTTTGAATTTTGTCTAATAAAAAATCAACTTCTACCACTCTACTTACTCTTAGCACATAAAACGAGAAGTTTTATCCCTTAAATATCTTTTACCTACCTATCACTATTACTACTTTTCTAATAATGAGGGGTATTTTGGTTATTTTTACTCCACTACTTTCTTCTCAGGATTGTAGGAGTTGATATTTTGTAGGACGAAGGGAGTATGTAGGTTAGTACATTATCTGTACATATGTATACTTGTGGAGAGGGATGCACGTGCAGGGTACAGGAGAGAGGGACTAAAATCAGTCCTTTTTGTTTTTAGAACGCTGCTATAAGTACGGCGCCAATGTTCGATTGGTGTCCGACTCCGTTACGGCATTACCTACGCATGTCAGATTCTATCACGGAGTGAGACTTTTGCCGTCTGAGCCTTTCCTTGTGGGTAGAGTCGTACACAATAGCCGGACAACAGGGTTGTACGTATATTATTTTCGTTTTTTAATCTAATCTGATGGTGTAGAATAATGGTATCATCAATTTAAATGAAAATAAATGGCTAGATGTTTCTAATATATTAAAATTCCATGTGACGACTTAGGAGCGTTTATAGGAGTGCCACATGACGGCATGAGAGCATTTGTAGGATGTTTAATGGACTTTTATTAGATAGATAGATCGATCGATCTAATCCAATGGTATAAAATACTAGGTTCACAAATTGTGAAAATCAATGATAAGTTTAGATAAAACCATGTGACAGCCTACGAGCGTTTGTATGAGTGCCACGTAATAGCTTTTTCCATAAAAGATGTTTCACCTAGTGTATTTACAATGTTTCACTATTTATAGATCTAATGTTGCAGTGAATTAAAATATTCTTTTGCAATAAAAAAAACCCACATATTTTGGAAACTCTCTATTAAGTGAATTTGGTTTATTTTTTGTTCCACCAAAAATGTTTCACCTAGTGTACTCACAATGTTTCACTATGTATAGATCTAATGTTGCAGTGAATGAAACATTCCATTGCAACAAAAAAAACCCCACATATTTTGGAAACCCCTGTGAAGGGAATTTGGTTTATTTTTTGTTCCACCGAAAAATGTTTCACTTAGTGTACTCATAATGTTTCACTATGTATAGATCTAATGTTGCAGAGAACTGAAATATTCTTTCGTTATTTGTTGAAACATTGTTTTTATATAAGGTGAAATAATACCTGATTTAAACGAGTGAAACATTTTCAATCTAGGGTGTGTTTAGTTCACGCCAAAATTGGAAGTTTTGTTGAAATTGGAACGATGTGATGGAAAAGTTGGAAGTTTGTGTGTAGGAAAGTTTTGATGTGATGGAAAAGTTGGAAATTTGAAGAAAAAGTTTGGAACTAAACAAGGCCCTACTTAGTGAAACAATTCCGATATACCTGATGGAACATCGTGTAACATTTAAAAATAGGAAAAAGTACGAATTACCCTCCTGAACTATCGCGGTCGTCCGAATTACTCCCTCAAACCACAAAATCAGACATATTAAACCTCAAACTATTGAAACCGGACAAATTACCCCCCTCAATCTGAAGCAGTATTAATCCTTCGTGGCATACACGTGATGCTGAGGTGGAAATCCAATCAGCATTTTCTTTTTTAAAAATGGTGGGGCCCACCTGTAAGACCTCATCTTCCCATCTTCCCCCTCTCTCTCTCATCATCATCGTCACGACGCACGGGCACAAGTGGAGCGGCGGCACACAGCGGCGCGCGTGCGAGGGCGGGCGGTCGGCCGCAATCCCTCACGGCGGCCCGTGAAGGTGGGCCAGCGGGGACAGGGGACGGGCAGTCGGCACGCACGACGGCGGGTCTGCGGGGGCGGGCGGTCGACGCACACTCTCTAGCGTCGGTTGCCACTGCTGCAGGCGAGGCGGAGGTGGACAGGGCTGGGAGGGAGTGGATGGCCGGAGTTGGAGGAGATGGTGCGGCGGCGTCACCATTGGGGGTGGGATGCGAGGGAGATTGGACGGGACCAGCTCCTACCTATGGGCAAGGAGGAGGCTGAAGATGAGCGGCGGGGCGAGCGGCGGCGGGCGCGACTCCGGTCGGCGGTGAGCCCACCGCGCGCCGACGACGAAGAGGAGGAGCCCGCAGTGGTGGCGGCGGTCCACCGCGTGTTCCCGCGCGCTGCCGCCCACCGCGCGCCCACAACGTGGAGGAGGAGCCCACCACCCACCGCGCGCCCGGTCTGCCTCCGCCTCCGTCGCCGGCCGCCGGTCGCCGCCGTCCTTCGCCCCCCGCGCGCTGTCGTCCTCACCTCGCCAACCGCCCACGCCGACCGTGCTCACCTCCTCCCCGCGGACGGAGCTTGGGGCGGCGGGATGGCGGCCGCGCGCTCTCCCTTCTCTTCCGCCATTGGACGCACGCTCCGCCTCCGCCTCCGCCTCCGTCATCGGCCGTTCGAGCGAGCTCCGCCAGGTCCGCCTTCGCCTCTGCCACCAGCCGCCCGGGCGCCTCGCCTCTGCCGCTGGCCGCCTAGTCCGACTCTGCGTCCACCCATCACCGCCGGTCGCACGGCCCCTAGCTCTGTGTCCGCCCGCCGCCGCGCTCGCCTCCTCCGCCGCCGCGCTCGCCTGGCCGCTGCCGCCGCCACGCCTCGCCTCTTCCGCCGTCTCGCCTCGCCTCCTCCGCCCGCCGCTTGCATAGTTCACAGTGAGAGGAGAGAGCGAGGGGAAGAGTGAGAGAAAGAGGTTGAGAGTGAGAGAAGAGAGAGGAATAGTGTAATAGGAGTATGACAGGTGGGTCTCACATTTTTTTAATAAATAAAATGCTGACTGGACTGTCACGCGTACGCCATGTAGACTAAAACCACCGCGGATTGGGTCGAGGGGAGTAATTCGTCCGGTTTGCATAGTTGAGGGTGAAGAATGTCCGGTTTTGTGGTTCAGGGGGTAATTCGGACGACCGCCATAGTTCGGGGGGTAATTCGTACTTTTTCCTTTAAAATAATTCAATAATAAGCTAATTTTTTTCATCGGAATATATCCATGTGTGGTCTTGTTTTGAAGATTTAATTGCCACGAATTTAATGGTGTAATCGGATCATGATTTGGATAAGTAATTTAAGAGAAAAAACAGTTTAAAGTAGTTTTGCACGTAAATCGAGTGTTGACGTTATGCTGACATCAGCACCTGATTTTAACCTCTTCCCATCGGGCGTCCGAGTGGGAGTAACGTTCGAGAAAGTTTGATAGACTTTTACTTATATAATAGAATAATA